CAAGAACCAATTTTCAGTCTGGTTTCCATGGTTTCCATAGTACTGAGTCTGGCCTAGTCAAAGTGCTGAGACCACAGTGCTGATTCTGTTGGACCTCAGCGCTGACCCGGTCGTGTTTGCGAACCAGTGGCAGGTTCTCATATGGGCGACATGGCAACTGCCCAGGGTGGCACCCTGAGGGAGGGGGGGCAATCTAGAGCTATAGATCTAGAGTCCGCACAGCTGCTGGATCAACCTGCTGGTCCTGGTTCTGGTTCTGCATCCAGAACCAGACATGAAGAAGCAGCTTTCAGCTTCTATGCTCCACAGATCTGGAATAAACCTCCAGAAAACAGAAAAACAGCCGAAACCCTGAGCTCCTTTAAATCCAGACTGAAACCTGATCAGATTATTATTATTACTGTGATTATTAATAACTGGAATATTGATCAACATGTTAGGTGAGGATTTGGGTGACGACTGAATGTAATATCTGATTGATTATTGGCGATTGATCGATGGTTTCGTGGTGAGAAGCTAAACTGACTTCACCTTCCTGCTGACATCAGCCTCTCTGTGATTGGCTGAGTTCCTGGAGAGCTCTGATTGGCCGGTGCGTCTCACAATCAGGGAGGAAAGGTCGGCTGCAGAAATGTTCCTGCTGAACCAGCGAGGATCCTGCTGATCACTGGGAGGACTGGGAGAGACAGGAAGCAGTTCAGCAAAGGATGGATGTGAGATTATAGAACCAGCTGAGAGGTGAACTGCATAATATGTGGTGGACAGGTGGGGGCAGATAGTGGACAGGTGGGGCAGATAGTGGACAGGTGGGGGCAGATAGTGGACAGGTGGGGGCAGATAGTGGACAGGTGGGGGCAGATAGTGGACAGGTGGGGGCAGATGGTGGACAGGTGGGGGGAAAAGGTAGTGTACCTGTGTGGCAGCAGCAGCGTCCTCAGCAGATTGTCTCCGTCTGCGGCTCTGACCTGCTCTCCGTCCACCAGGCGCTCCACCACCTGCTGGGCCACGCCCTCCAGACTGTTCTGCTGGAGGTCCAGAAGAACGGCGCCTGCAACCAGAACCAGAATCAGGGCTCACTGTTAGAACCTCCACCCTGGAGACTTGGGGACATCGTCCTCACCGTGGGACAGCAGCTTCTGCAGAACCAGCAGGGTGTGGACGGATAGGGAGACCATGTGAGCCGTCTCCTGGTCCTCAGAACCCGTCCATCGACCCGAGTCCCTCCACTGCAGACCCTGGTTCTGGTCCATCACCAGCTCCTTCAGTTGCACAAACATCTGATACACACACACACACACACACACACACACACACACACACACACACACACACACACACACACACGCACACACACAGTGTGACTGAAGACGTCCTCTGATGAGGCTGGACGTCCTCTGTGTCCTCTGACTGTCTCAGCACCAGACCAGTTTACAGACCCAACCAGAACCTGAAATACTTCAGATTAAATCAGAACCTGAAACTCTGGACACCTGGACCCAACCTGCAGCTGTACCTGGTTCTGTCTGCTCCTCAGGTCCAGACGCAGCATCCTGGACACCAGCAGAACTGAAACTGCTGCAGAGTCGAGCACAGACTCGACCTGATGTCCACACCTGTCCCGCCCACCGATGCCCCACCCCTAATCCCACCTGGATTAACCAGGATCAGCTGCCGTTTCCTGTTTCAGCCTCAAACATTCCACAGCTTTTGTTGTCGTCTTTCACCTGGTTCTGTTCCCACCGGGTCTCCTGATGTCCTTGTGCTGGACCCAGGTCCGACCCGGTTCTGTTCCCACGCCACTAGCCCGTTAGCATGTGTCATGCTAACACTGATCGCTATTAAACAATTAAAGAGATGAAATGACCTATGACCTATAGAGGGTCAGAGTCCACATGTTAGGTTCCTAACCCAGCAGGTGGCAGCTCACCTGAAGAATGTCACCTTGGTTACCTTGGTTACTTTGGTTACCTTGGTTACCTTGGTTACTTTGGTTACCTTGGTTACGGAGACGATGGTTCCTCTGCTTCACCAGGTGATGCTAAACAGCCTCATCTGACCTTTGACCTGTGTGGAGTTACAAGAGAGGAAACATGACTTTCAACTGTTAAATTTTTCAAAATAAAAGCCCTGAGAAACTTGGAAGAGAAGCAGAACGAGACGACAAAAGAGGTTCTGGTTCTGATCCAAATGATCACGGCCTGCTGTCTCAGACATGCAGGGATCGGCAGCAGACTGGTTTCATCCCAGTGATCCCAGTTTGTTCCTGCATGTCCTCCGGTCCAGGCCTGGTGGAGTCCAACAGGGTTCTGGACTTGGCCCGATCTGCTTCACTGTGGTTCTGCTTCCAGCACAGGAGAAATGGATCTATAATCCAGGTTAATCCAGCCTGTTAGTAGATTACAAACATTTAAACCTGGATGGACCCAAAATTCCTGCTTTAAGTGGTTTTTGGACCAGAACCTCAAAACAGAACCGGATCAGTGGGTCACTGATCTGGATGAAATGATCGACTGGTGATTAAGTAAAGAAGCTCTATGTAATCCCACAGGAAACAGCTTCTAGGATGACCTTGTGACCTTTTTCCAGTCTGAACTGGTTGTGGAGGAGATGAAGTGATTCCAAACATCTGGATTTTATTTTAGAGCCTTTAAAACGAACGTCGTGTTTTGTGACGGATCCTGATCTGCTTATACCAAGTTCTGACGTTTTGGATATGAATGTACTGTCAGGTTTGGACTAGGCCACGGCGTCTCAAAATCTCCTGTAGGAGAAACCATCACCTGGTTTATAAAACTGGACTCCAGCGATCTGTTGCTGCAGGTTCTTTATGCTGCTGCAGCGTTTCTGCTGCAGCGATCTGTTGCTGCAGGTTCTTTATGCTGCTGCAGCGATCTGTTGCTGCAGGTTCTTTATGCTGCTGCAGCGATCTGTTGCTGCAGGTTCTTTATGCTGCTGCAGCGATCTGTTGCTGCAGGTTCTTCATGCTGCTGCAGCGATCTGTTGCTGCAGGTTCTTCATGCTGCTGCAGCGATCTGTTGCTGCAGGTTCTTTATGCTGCTGCAGCGATCTGTTGCTGCAGGTTCTTCATGCTGCTGCAGCGATCTGTTGCTGCAGGTTCTTCATGCTGCTGCAGCGATCTGTTGCTGCAGGTTCATTATGCTGCTGCAGCGATCTGTTGCTGCAGGTTCTTCATGCTGCTGCAGCGATCTGTTGCTGCAGGTTCTTCATGCTGCTGCAGTGATCTGTTGCTGCAGGTTCTTCATGCTGCTGCAGTGATCTGTTGCTGCAGGTTCTTCATGCTGCTGCAGTGATCTGTTGCTGCAGGTTTTTTATGCTGCTGCAGCGATCTGTTGCTGCAGGTTCTTCATGCTGCTGCAGCGATCTGTTGCTGCAGGTTCTTCATGCTGCTGCAGCGATCTGTTGCTGCAGGTTCTTTATGCTGCTGCAGCGATCTGTTGCTGCAGGTTCTTCATGCTGCTGCAGCGATCTGTTGCTGCAGGTTCTTCATGCTGCTGCAGCGATCTGTTGCTGCAGGTTCTTCATGCTGCTGCAGCGATCTGTTGCTGCAGGTTCTTCATGCTGCTGCAGCGATCTGTTGCTGCAGGTTCTTGGTGTCGCAGAGAAACAGAAGCGAGGATCAGAGATGGAATCGGCTCCAGATCTCATTTCTGTGGATTTTATCTCCCAGCTCTAATCTGTGAATGTTTTAGTTTTGCCTCTTCAGAACCAGATCTGGATCCGGTTGGACCTGCTTTGGGTCGGTTTCTGTCATCTCCAGATTACCTGCAGCTTCAGAATCTAGTCTGATCTTCAGGCTGGATCTTTCTCTCCATCAGTCCTTCAGCTGGTCCAGACCGGGTTCTGGTTCTGTTCTGCTGATCCAGGCCCGGTTCTGGTTCTGTTCTGCTGATCCAGGCCCGGTTCTGACCATCAGCAGCCGTCATTCCTGTTCGGGTCACAACGACCCGCCTGTTGGACCGCCATCGGAACCAGAACCGGCTGCTCTTCATCATCACGGCGGCAGTGAAGGAGAGGAGCCGCTGGGTTCTGGTTCCGCTCCATGCGGGGTCAGAGGTCAAACCTGAAGAGCAGCAGCACAGGTCAACGACCTGACGATGACGAAGGTCCTCAGGCTGAGCTTCATCATCATCACCTCCATGCAAGAACCATCAGAACCAGAACCTCCTGAGGGGTCTGTGTGTGTGTGTGTGTACCTGCTGGTGTGCTGGTCCGTTTCGGTGCTACTGGATCAGAACCAGCCAGGCTGAAGCGGTTCTTATAGCGACCCGTCTGTGTAGGCGGAACCAGAACCAGTAATTATCTGAGCTGAACCCAAACATGTTTACCTGGAAACACCTGAGAGCCGCCGGTTCCCACAGAACCTCATGGACCGGGCCAGAACCAGGCTGATGAATTTCTCCAGCATGGTGAACAGAAAGATGTCAGCAGGTTCTGCGCCTTCAGAACCAGGTCCGGTCGGATCAGTTCCTGGTTTTACTCCAGAAGGTCCTGGAGGCCCAGATCGGGTCGGTCGCTCCAGAAAGCCGGTCCACTTGGTCTGGAATCTTGGTTCTGGTGGGTTCTGATCCCTACTGTGGAGGAAAGGGCCCACAGCATGATACCTCCACCACCGTTCTCCGCAGGGTTCTGGACCCAGCAGAACCGTGCTGCTTCCACCAGTCCAGAACTCCACACCTTCCTGGACTGGTCCGGTTCTGGTTCTGATAATAATGGCTGATGCTAAAGCTAGCAGTGTCAACAGGTTCATGTGGCTTTAGAGCGACCCGGACTCGGGTCAGAACCGGCCGGGTGACCCGGACTCGGGTCAGAACCGGTCTGGTGTTCCTTCTTGTTTTTAATTTTGTTAACAGGGAACTGCAGGAGGAACTTCCTGAAACAAAGATCTACGGTCGGATCAGAACCAGGAGGGGCGTCATCATCATCATCATCATCATCATCATCATCATCATCATCATGATGTCAGTTAGATTATCATGACATAAACACCAAACATCATTTATTTAAACTCATGTTGTCACAACATACAATTGTTCTTTGCCCCGCCCCCTGCTGCTCACTGTCGTCATGGAGACGCACTCCGTAAACACAGCAAGATGACTCACCTGTGGGAACCTGAACACACACACACACTCACACACACACACTCACACACACACACTCACACACACACACACACACACACACACACACACACACTCACACTCACACACAGACACACTCACTCACACACACACACACACACACACACTCACACACACACACACACACACACACACACACACACACACACACACACTCACACTCACACACACACTCACACACTCACACACACACTCACACACACACAGACACGCAGACACACACACTCACACACACACACACACACTCACACACACACAGACACGCAGACACACACACTCACACACACACACACACACTCACACACACACACACACACACACACAGACACACACTCACACACACACTCACTCACACACACACACACTGCTAATCCCAAAACTTAGAGCTGAATCGACTCGGTAACAATTTTAACAGAACCACATTATGGATCAGAAGTTCTGGAGAGATGATGAAAAGAACAATGGGACACGTTCTGATGACCCACAGCTGGTCATCAGAACCGGGCCTTCAAATTTGGGTCTTCAGAACCGGGCCTTCAGAACCGGGCCTTCAGACCCGGGTCAGTCCTGTTCGTCCTTTGTCGTCTGGCTCCTCCTCTTCCTCAGCTCCTCCAGCCCGTCCTGGATCCGCTCCAGCGCGGCCCGGTCTCCTGCCTGCTGGGCCCGGTCCAGAGCCTCCTGATAGAACCGGGCAGAGTCATCCAGCCGGCCTGGGGACAGAACCAGAACCAGAGGTTGGACCAAGAACCCGCGGTTCTTGGTTCATCCGTCCAGGTGAACTCACCTGTGTGCAGCAGGATTCCTGCCAGGTTCTCCAGGAGAACGTGGTGATCGGGGTTTTCCACGGAGACGCTCAGGTCCACCGCCTGCTGGATCAGAACCAATGCATCGTCATGACGACCCTGCAGGTCCAAGATGGTGGCCAAGTCGCTCATCAGGACCAGAGTCTGATGGGGACACGGAGGAGTTCAGACAAGGCGTCTCGGGTCGTGTCTCGGGTCGTGTCTCGGGTCGTGTCTACCTGTGGGTGGTCCTGTCCCTGCTCCTGGCGGCAGATGTCCAGGGCTTTCCTGTAGTCGTGTCCAGCCAGGTCCAGATCCATCCTTGAGACTCGGTACCGCGCTCGTGAGTCCAAACACAAACCCAGCAGAAGGTGAGTGTCTTTCCTCAGAGCTTCCTGCTGCTCTGGAAACAGAAACATACACGTGGATGAAACGTCTCACCTGTCCCCTCTGTCTCACCTGTCCCCTCTGTCTCACCTGTCTCCTCTGTCTCACCTGTCTTCTCGTCCTCTGGCTGCTTCTTGTGCTTCTCCAGTTTAGCTTCTAGTGATTCCACACAGAACCTGAAACCGTGTTCGGCCAGCTCTGCCCTCCATAACAGAAGAGAAAAGTTAGTGACCTTTGACCTATGATTACTTTGACTCAGCCAATGACTAAGCAGAACCAACATGGTCCTGAGACACAACTGGACATGGAGTGAACTAGTTCTTCAGGTGAACTGGACATGGAGTGAACTAGTTCTTCAGGTGAACTGGACATGGAGTGAACTAGTTCTTCAGGTGAACTGGACATGGAGTGAACTGGTTTTCAGGTGAACTGGACATGGAGTGAACTGGTTTTCAGGTGAACTGGACATGGAGTGAACTGGTTTTCAGGTGAACTGGACATGGAGTGAACTAGTTCTTCAGGTGAACTGGACATGGAGTGAACTGGTTTTCAGGTGAACTGGACATGGAGTGAACTAGTTCTTCAGGTGAACTGGACATGGAGTGAACTGGTTGGCCCTTACTTGTTCTGCTCAGCGTAAATGGTGGCCAGTTTCAGAGACATCTCAATGACAGCGTTGTCGTCCTGGAGACAGACAGGAAGTGAGGTGGAGTTTTCAGCCAAATGGACGATCAAACACTGAAGCAGCTCAGAACACCTGGGCAGGTGAGGGGAGCTTACCTCTGGAGTTCCTCCAGCGAGCATGTAGCTCATGGCTGCTTTGAAGAGCTTCTCTGCCTGAGAGGAAGAGGAGCAGAGATGAAGATGAGGAGAACCAGCTGACCAGAACCAACCTGGATTGGACTGGGCTGTACTCACACTGTCCAGATGACCCTGAACGTAGGCCAGGTTCGCCATCTGAGGAGGACGCAGCTGATCATTCAGTTAGTGATGACACAGAGGTCAGTCAGAGGTCAGTCAGAGGTCAGTCAGAGGTCAGACAGAGGTCAGTTTGAGGTCAGACAAAGGTCAGTTAGAGGTCAGTCAGAGGTCAGACAGAGGTCAGTCAGAGGTCAGTCAGAGGTCAGTTTGAGGTCAGACAGAGGTCAGTCAGAGGTCAGTCAGAGGTCAGTCAGAGGTCAGACAGAGGTCAGTTTGAGGTCAGACAGAGGTCAGTCAGAGGTCAGTCAGAGGTCAGTCAGAGGTCAGTCAGAGGTCAGTCAGAGGTCAGACAGAGGTCAGTCAGAGGTCAGTCAGAGGTCAGTCAGAGGTCAGACAGAGGTCAGTCAGAGGTCAGTCAGAGGTCAGACAGAGGTCAGTCAGAGGTCAGTCAGAGGTCAGACAGAGGTCAGTCAGAGGTCAGTCAGAGGTCAGACAGAGGTCAGTCAGAGGTCAGTCAGAGGTCAGACAGAGGTCAGTCAGAGGTCAGTCAGAGGTCAGACAGAGGTCAGTCAGAGGTCAGTCAGAGGTCAGACAGAGGTCAGACAGAGGTCAGACAGAGGTCAGTCAGGTCACCTGGCTGTAGGTGTAGATGATGGCCTGGTTGTTGTGCGTCTGCTGAGCGAGAGCGACGGCCTGATGGAAGAAGGACGAAGCCGCCTGCAGATTTCCTCGATGGACGCTGAGCTGCAACAGGAAGTGGACGGTTAGCGTGACGAACTGGACCTGCGAGACTCGTCGCTCTGGTCCAGATGACCCGGGTCAGCGTGAGATTTGTCGGTTCCCTCTGAGCGAATCCGGCCGCAGAGGTGCTTCCTGCAGACCCGACGGGTCTCCGGTTCTGGATGACCAAAGGTCGGGCTCGGTTCCGAACATCCCGCCTCGAGTCCGGTCCCGGTTTCTGGGTCACCCGGCTCGTCTCAGCTGACATGGGAACACTGAACTTCCTGTGGCTGTTTGTCTCGGTTCCGGTCGGGTCCAGATTCTGGTACCTTGGCTTTCTTCAGCAGCAGAATGATGTCGTCCTCCTTCCTCTGAGCTTCGTCCCTCTGGTCCTCATCGGTGGAGCGGAACAGGGAGAACGCTGCAGGGCAGCAGACAGAGAGGTCAGAGGTCAGCAGCAGACAGAGAGGTCAGCAGACTGAGAGGTCAGAGGTGAATCCCCAGGTTTCTGACAGGTGAATGACTGAACGTACCGACTGCCGCCCACAAACCTCCTCTTCTTCTTCGGTGGCATTTTGTGCCGTCTTCACGTCTGCTTTCAGCTTCCCAGCATGCTGTGCGGCGTCCCGCTTCAGGAACAACCCGAGCAGAGGTCAAAGGCCACCTGTAGGGGCGGTAAGCTGTTAATGCAGGCGGTCCAGGTGAGCCCAGGTTCCCTGCAGTGGATGAGGTATTGATACGTCATCAAAATTAATAAATGCTAGAGCCAATCAGAAACCGCCATGAGAAGCTGCTGCTGTTGGTCGGTACTGACCTGAAGCCTCCAGAACATCTGGACCGGCTCAGAGTTCGGCTGAGGACGGCTCGGAGCAAACAAGAAGCCGCCATCTTTACTATTTATATAATCAACGGAAGTCATGTTGTGCATTGCCGCACCTTCAAAATAAAAGCCTTAAAATCCACATTTCCGCTGATTTTCAGCAAATAATTAAAAATAATTGTTTTCTTCCTCCGAACTTATTTGAGTTCATTTCGGTAGAATTCTGAAAGCAGAACCATCAGAACCAGAGGTAAACATCCAGCAGGAGAAACATTTAGACAAGGAAACACTAAGAGTGAACCAGACAAGATCAATGCAGCATGTGTTAAATTTCTAAAGGAAATGGAATTCTATTGATATAAGATTTTATTTTAAGCAGAAGAGAAAAACCCGTGTTCCTCACTCCAGACTGGAGGTGGCGATAAGAGGACGTCACTTCCATTAAACTCAAGAAGAAGCGAACCAGAGCTAGGAGGTTGAAGTAGTTTTATTTTGGTTCTGAACTGTTCAGGGTGTAGATTCGTTAACGGGTCAGAACCAGGCAAAACCATCCTGGTTTGAATGCTTTCAGCATGAAGAAGTAACTCTGACCGACCCGGTTCTGTCTCAGTCAGCAGTGAAGGTCAGACATGGAGCGGGTTCAACTGCGGGTCCAGAACCAAACACGGTGCTACTGGTCTGAACCACAGGTCCAAAAAAAACCATATCAGGCTCAGCTGATCAGACCTATGACCTCTGACCTTCAGCTGTCTCTCTGGAAGACAGAACTGCAGTGAGGTCATGGATCCAGAACAGAACTGGGTCCAAACATTCAAGACTTTTTAATGGTAGCAGCAAATACTGGTCCAGTGGCCAGATTCCTGGTTCTGATCCGGTCCTGTTACATCTGCAGAACCAGGAAAAAGGCAATCTCCGAGCTGAAGAGGAACCACTCCGACTCTTTATTCTGCCTGGTTCAGTCCAGTTGGACCCAGGTTGGTCCCGGGTTGGTCCAGTTTGTCCAGCTGAGGACTGCTACAGTGTGCTGACCTTCCTGGAGTTCTGCTCAGCAGAACCAGCTGTGCTCTTGGCCCAGAACCGGCTCACTGGGCCGGCCGGTGGTCCGTGAACCTCTTCAGGTGGAACCTCAGGACTCCTTTGGTCTTGAAGGTCTTGCCGCAGCTGCAGACATGCGGGCGCTCGCCGGTGTGGTCCAGCTGGTGCACGCGCAGCAGGGAGCTGGTGAAGAAGAACTCGCCACAGGTGATGCAGTAGTGGTTCTTCTCGCCGGTGTGCGCGGCGCGCTGGTGGGTCAGCAGTGAGCCGGATGTGATGAAGGTCCGGCCGCAGTCGCGGCAGCCGAAGGGGCGCTCGCCGGTGTGAATCCTCTCGTGGGCCCTCCAGGAGTTGTGGTAGGAGAAGGCCTTGTCGCAGTAGGAGCACTGGTAGAGCTTCTCTTTAGTGTGGCTGAGCCGGTGCATCTTCAGATAGTGAGCGATGGTGAAGCTCTTGCCGCAGTCGGCGCAGCTGAACGGCTTCTCGCCCAGGTGGAACAGCTTGATGTGAGAGTTCAGGTGGGACGACTGGGTGAACCTCTTGCCGCAGGTGGTGCAGAGGAAGGGCCGCTCGCCGGTGTGGGTGACCATGTGGGCCTTGAGGTGCGGCGCCTGCGTGAACCTCTTGCCGCACGCGGCGCAGCCGTACGGCTTGAGGCCCGTGTGCGTGCGGTCGTGCAGCTTCAGGCCCTGCAGGCTGGAGAAGCACTTGCTGCATTCGGAGCAGCGGTACTCCTCAGCTCCTGGTGGACGCGCTGGTGGCTGCGCAGGCCCAGCAGCTTGAAGCCTTTCCCGCAGGTGGGGCAGGTGTGCGGCTTCCTGCTGGAGTGGGTGGCCTGGTGGACCTTCAGGCTCTGAGGGTTGCTGAAAGTCTTGGAGCACTTGAGGCACGGCAGGCGCTTGGAGGTCTTGTGCGCCCGGCGGTGGAAATTGAAGCCCTGGTAGGAGACGAACATCTTGTCGCAGATGTCACAGTGGTAGGACCGCTCCCCTGGTGGGCCTCCAGGTGCTCGTCCAGCTGGTTCTGCTGGCCAAAGCCGTCCCCACAGAACCAGCACTTGAAGGGCTTGATCCCGGAGTGGGTCCGGTGGTGAGTCTTCCAGTCCCGCTTCAGGGCGAAGGTGCGGTCGCAGTAGGAGCAGCGTAGGGCTCGCTGCGGCCGTGGACCTGCTGGTGCAGCACCAGGCTCATCAGGGTCGGGTAGGTCTTCCCACACTCCCAGCACTGGTTGGGGTTCTGGCCCCGGTGGGTCCACAGGTGGGCCTCCAGGTGAGCCAGCTTGTAGAAGCCCCGCTGGCACATGGGGCAGTACGCCATCCTCCTGCCGCTGTTGGTGGCGCGCCACGGCCGCAGCTCAGGATGGTCATCTGAGGAGGAACAGAGGTCAGAGGTTACGGACCTGAACCGGTTCTGAGGAACCCTGCGGCCTCAGACCACAAACCGACTCCGCAGAACAGGAAGTCAGAACCAAACTGACCCAACAGAAGCCTCACCCAGAGACAGGAAGTCCCGCCCCTCCAGCCACGCCCTGCAGTCAGTCAGCTTGACGCTCAGCTTCTTCAGGAGAGGGAAGCATTGGATCGCCACGTCATCGCCTGGTTCTGGTTTGATCTGGACGCTGCAAGGTCCAGCAGCCATATCCTGGAACAGAACCAGAACCTTCATCAGAACCAGATCTGAGGAGTTGTTGGATCTGATTGGTTGGTAGAAGTGAGGCTGAGGCCAGTTCCTAAAAAACAGATGTCGTCCTCCATCAAACTATACCTCGCACCATGTGGTCAGACTGCTGTGCTAGAGTCAGTGACCTCTGACCCCAGCCTCAACTCCAGACGGTGTGTCCTCCTCCTGCTGGGTCAGGTTCCTGGAACCAGTTGGTTCTGTTGGATCGGTTTCTACGAAGATTGACGACTACCTGATGATTCTGGTTCTCAGAACCAGCCCAGGATCCTGCAGGTCTTAGTTCTCTCCATGGTTCAACACGGCTGGAAACCGCCTCTGAACGGCATCTGGACCACCAGAACCAGACCAGCAGTCTGGGTCTCGTGTCTGGTTCCTATTCTAATAAACATCAGTTCTGCAGAACCTGATCAGAACCAAGGTTGTTCTTTAACTTGAATCAGTCGGGTCAGACAGACTGACTGGATTCTGACCGGAACCGGGCCGGTACCGACGGATCAAGCATTCACACACCAGCTGCCAAACCGACCCGACTAACTGTGTGTTGGCTGGCAGCCAATCATGTCATCGCATGATGTAAACCTGATCATCACCTCGGTGTTTGTATGATGACGTCAGAGCCAGAACCTGTAGACCAGGGTCTCAGACTGGAGGCCCGGCATCCTGCATGTCTCAGTCTGTCCCTGGTACCGACAACCTTTTCAGAACATTAATGTTCTTCTCGGGCCTCTAATGGGCCGGTGGATCCAGGAGCGTAAAGTAGGAGACTGAAACATGCAGGATGCCCCACTCTGGGCCCTCAGGGACCCCACTCAGGTCCCGCCTAAAGGGTCTCAGGCTCAGAGCAAGCTGCAAGTTCCGCCCAAACCGGATCGACAGAACCGTGAAAAAGCACCGTGAGATTAGCCCGGCAGCTGCAGCTCCCACCAAACTCCATTCATTTTCCGGCTGTTTTTAGCTTCCGCCTCCAGCACCGAAGGAGCTTCAGGTCCAGGTTCTGTTAGTTGGTTCGGTGAAAGGTTCTGCATATCTGAAGCGGTCGGGTGATAGGAGCCAAGGTTCGGTACAACTAAACTGGATCCAGAATCGAGTCAAAGCTTATCTGTCGTTTTCTGAATGGAGTTTGGTGAAGCGGTTAGCTTAGTTCCTCAGAGTTCTGACCCGGTTCCGAGGTCCGAACCAGCTCCTTACCTGTGAAACCGGGTCGGTCTGCATCCCTCCGGGTCTACCACCGGGTTTGTGTTCGAATGATAAACGAGAACCGATTCTGGAGCAGTTCCGGGACAAAGGTCACACCGCCCCTCCACCAGACTCCGGTCAGCTTTCAGCTGATTTGGGGTTCGGCTGCTCTCACACAGAACAGAACCGGTTCTGACCCAACAGAATCATAGAGCTCCCTTCCGGTATCCCCGCGTCTCCTCTGTTGAGCTCAGAACCAGCTGTGGTTCTGAAAGGTGCCAACGAGTCAGAACTGGGTCCATTTTGAACCACTGGGGGCGCCATAGGCTTTGCTGGCCAACCTGGAAACAGTAACAGAGCAGCTTCTTCTCTGGACAGAAGACAGGAGCACAACAGCTGGAGTCGCCCCCCTCCCCAGCTTGTTGCTGATCCAACAGTTTTAACGGTCTCCAAGTCTAAAGTTTCTCCAGAAGCTCAGAAGGTTCTGAGGTTCCTCCGTGGAGACAGAACTGGATCCAACAGAAGGCGGAAAGCCGCCAAATAATGTTAAGACAGACTGGGAGATTATTTCATAAACGTTTATTCACAGTGACAGACTGGCGACCCGTCCAGGCGACTCGTCCAGGCGACTCGTCCAGGCGACTCACCTCTTGCCTGGAACGTTGCTGGAGAGGCAGCAGCTCCTCCGCACCCACTGGGACCAGGGGTGAGAAAATGGATGGATGTTTATTCAGAGAACGTAACGTTACAGAACCAATCAGAACACGTTTCCAGGACCAGGGTTCTAACAGAACCAAGCTTCAACTCTTATTAGTGGAAGGAAAATCTTTTTGGGTTTCATTAAAATGTTTTAGGAGATCCGGCCAGCAGCTCCATAACCATCAGAGTAGAACAGAACCGCTGACCCGGTTTGGTCTTATTCTAGAAGAGGAGCCAGCCTGAGGGGGAGAGTCATCAGCTGAGCCCTAAAAGCTGGCTTCCTATTGGCTCCCAGGGTGACACGATCAGCAGTCAGTTTGCTTCAGTGTGTTGTTCCCTGAACGGAAAGTTGTTTGAGCCAGACATAAAGAAAGAAAGAAAAAAAAAAAGCATACAAGTTCCAATTATAAACATATAAAATTGAATTATAACTCACAATTAGTTCTCCATCTGCTGCTTTGTATCCCAGGAGACCTCCAGCCAGCAGGAGGCGCTGCAGCTCCAGATGTAAATCAGGCCGAGTTTTGCTTCCTGAGCCCATCGACAAATAAAAATGTCATCAAGAAGTTGAGCCAGCATAACATTTAAGAAGTTTTTTTTCTAAACACTTTAGTTTCTAAACCATGAATTCACAGAAAAGCTTCAGATTAAAAGTTTCCTGTTTTTCACGCCAAAACTTTTCATATTAACCGCCAGCTTATCACTGATTTTTGATCCCAAATATTTGTAGTTTGCAAATAACTATATTTCTATTGTGTTAATAAAACGTGGGATTCAACTTTCATATTCTGTTTTTGTAACACTTAGATTTAAATTAATCTCGGTGGGGATCAGATGAACGCTTCGGTCAGTCTTTGTCACGGCGCCGCGCTCTGACAACCAGCTGCCTGAGGGTGGCGCTACAATTCGGCCTTTTGTTCACATCATCTCCCAGTAGGCTCCGCCCACGCAGTCACGTCACAACACTCACCTGTGCAACAGAGTCACATCACAAAGGTGGGTCAGGTGAGGAATCGGGGAGCGCCGACCAGCCCGGATCAGAACACGCCTCGGTCCGGTTATGTCACAGCCCCGCCTCTGTGAACAGACTGCTGGGGGCGGAGCTTCAGTCGGCCTTTTGTTACATCACTTCCAGGTGGGCGGCGCTCCACGTCACACATCAGTTCTGCAGAACCAGGACAGGTTCAGCAGAACCGCTGCAGGAACTGGACCCTGAACATCACAGACATAAGAGTAGACCCACAGTGACTTAGATTTGTTTTATTGTCATATTTCACAGAAGTGAAATTGGCAATGAAATGTCATGGCTTGGCCACCGGAGCAAGAATGCAAAAACACAAGTGTGCTAATAATTACATGACATACAAATAATAATGTATTGCTAAATATGTAACTTGGTATTTTCAAGCAGTCTTAGTGACGGGATTGATGAGCAATCTGATGGCCAGTCTGGCTGTTCTGCAGCGGATGCTACAGAACCTCCACCCAGGCGCCAACCGGATGAGGATGGGTGGAGTCAGAGAGGATCTGGTGATCTCTGGTCCTGACGATCCCGACTGCTGTCTTCACCACGCCGCAGAGACTTCCAGTCTGACAAGTTGCAGTTCCCAGACCAAATGGAGATGCTGCTGGTCAGCAGGATCTCAGTTACCCTCTGCAGAAGGTGGAGAAGATGGGAGGAGGAGGGAAGTCTTTCTCATTCATTTCGGAAAGTGCAGGCGCTGCTGTGCCTTTTTCACCAGTGAAGTGATGCAAGTTGTCCAGGCGAGGCCGTCTGTGATGTGATCGCTGACGATCTCCACCGATGAGGAGAGGAGTGTGGTTGGGTCCAGACCTCCTCAGTGATGTCTTTGGTCTTGTTGAGTTTAGGAGCAGGTTGTTGATTCTGCACCAGTCCCACCCTAACATGGCTGCAGGAAACACGGCGGCCATCTTGACTAAGCCGAAGCAGCAGAAGCCTCAGCACTGCGGATACTTTGTTCACATCAATGGACTATTATTTAACTTCATATTGTTGATATTTTATCATCAGAATATTACTATACTGTGTTTATGTCCACTGGTGAAATGCGGGTTCAGCCCTGCTAGGAAGGCTCACCCAGATTTAGTGGAAAGTTTGAACATTTTTAATATGGACTTAGATTATCACAGAGCCTACCTTAGAAATAAAACATTATGAGAAATATATTGCATGGTTTAACATTCACCAGTGAAACTTTTTTCTGATTTGTGAAACTTTACTTCACAGCCCACTGCAGAAGGTTTTTCCTTCCACAGCCATCACCATCTACAATAACTGAAGAATTAATTAGTTATACCAACATTTAATTTCCCATTGAGATTAATAAAGTGGTTTTGAATTTGTGCATGGAACAAGTGTGAATAGTAATCTAAACTTGAGTGAAGTTTCATAAATCCCAAACATGGATCTAAATATTGTGTTATTAGAGCAGAAGAGTCCAGTCCAGGTTTGAAGAGTCCAGTCCAGGTTTGAAGAGTCCAGTCCAGGTTTAAAGAGTCCAGTCCAGGTTTTAAAGAGTCCAGTCCAGGTTTTAAAGAGTCCAGTCCAGGTTTAAAGAGTCCAGTTGTTGCAGTTTTTAAACTAGAATCCATTAAAGATGGAAGGTAGTGAAAATGAGGTGGAATCGCCCTTTAGCCATTTTCCGAATCGGAACCAGTTCTGTAGGTAACAGCAGCTGCAGCGTTGAACCCGCGTTGAAACCAGGACCAGGTCGCCATTAAAACAATTAACCTGTTTTCTGTCGTATCTTGTCGCGTAAGCAAAACTGACAGCTGTTGTCCATGTCTAATGCGCATGCGTACTCAGAAAAAACGTATGGTAGAAGTACGCTGACCTGACAAAACACCTGTCTGGCTCCAGTCGTTCTCTTCAAAGAACCGGCTCTAAGAACCGAAACGTTCGCGACTGACTTATCACTAACCCAAATCAGCTCACCTGGAGAAGAACCCAGGACCGGCTGGTTCCAACACATCGGCCCGGTCCAGTTGATGTAGCTGGCCTTTGCTAGCAGTTAGCATCCTGCGGTACTTCAGTCACTGCTCCCCGGAACCAGCAGAGAAAGGCCACAGTAAATTGTGTGGAAGCCTCCCCGCCAGACTAGAACTGGATCGGAACCGAAGTCAGGTAGTCTGAAAGTCATCGGTCTGCGACCCAAACAGGTTCTGAACGGTTTGAATTCAACCACGCCGCCAGCCTCGTGGTAGAGCTCCGTCCAAAGCGTCGCTGCGTCGCTGCTGCTTCTTAATGGCGGAAACAACTTGCCGCCACCTAGTGGCGTGGAGCTTCTTTTACACCAAGGTCCTTGTTTACATTTAAAATACATTTAAAACCTGAATATCGGGTTAACAAGTCAATCACTGTCTTCCTCTTTTAACCATATTTATTTCTTTGAAGCTCACTTTTGAGTATTTATTAAAATATAACATTAAATGTTTTATCTTGCCCACAAAAACTACAATTTCCAGCGTCATTATTCATCCTCCAAGTTATTAGCCCTGTATGGAAAATCTGATTCCTGATATAAAATCTCTTTATTATTCTAGAACTTATCCTAAGATTAGGATCCACCTATGCTCTGAAAATTATAATATCTATCTTCTTCACTGTCCCTTTGCATGCCTTTTTCTTTACCTCATCTTTGCTGTATTTCTGTTACTGTTTCAAACTTATCAGGCATTTTATTCCATCTATATCAACATGTGCAAAAATCCATATCAGTTCATTCCATTCCTCTGTTTATTGTATTTAGTAAGATTTGTGATTTTTCAAAGCACTGCAGAACTGCTAGAAAACACAGAAACATCTTAGATAGCACACTGGCTAAACCTGGGGGACAAAAAATGTCCTATTTAGTTTGCTAGTTTTATCTTTTGGCTCTAATATAACAGCTAAACCTGAGTTTAAAAAGTCCTGGACTAAAAACCCATAAAACACAAAACAAGCAGGAGAATTTTCTGCTTCACAATTTTAGTTGTTCTGCAGACAAATCATCCATAACAAACATTATTGTTTCACGGGCAAAATAAATGGATACCAGGAGTAATTGGTTCCTAATTAGTTCCCTGAGTTTATGAGTTCAGCATCTTTATCGGAGGAGAATAACGTGACAAAAGAAAAGAATGAAAAGACCACATATTACGAAGCCCTCAAGAGGACATGGAATTTTTTAGTTTTGCGTTCTCTCAATATGCTTACTGCAATATTTGCCGGTCAATTTTTGTACAGGCAAGAATGTCAATTCAAATATGTATATGTTCACATATACATATTGAAAGAGCCGACACAGTGGTTGAGGGCCGCTCTGGGTTAACTCGGGGAATCTCATCTGTCCAAGTGTCAATCATCTCCAGGCGTGATTATCGATTTGTTCCATTTTGGTTATCATGCTTCAAACTTTATAAGGACTGCAACACAAACTGACCAGGCCAAACTGCATAAGATCCGCTTCCACACACAACGCCATTCTTCCCATTCATACCTGGTAACGTCACCAGGTATGTGTTGGACCTGTCAATTAACAAGTGCTGTCCTGTCATATCAATTATTACTTATTTCATTCATATGGACCTTCCAGAGCCTCAGTGAAAACATGTTATTATTATTAACTGTTTGGTGCAAAAAACTGATCGAAACTCGATTTATTCACTGCATGTTTATCTCTGTTAAGGCTGAGATGAAACTGCACAGGGAACGGCCCTTTAAACCATTCAGATGCGACAGAGACGCAATCAGAACTGTGTCATTACCAGGAGAAGAACTCAGAAATAGTCCAAATAGTTTGGATGTATTTTTATTTCTTTCTTTTTTACATAAAGTTTCTGTTTATATCATAGATTTGTGGTGCCTTTCTATATAAAACTTCAGATATTTCACAACGAGATATTAACATTCACGGAAAAACCTTCATAACCTTACATTAAGGCAGAAAGTCGACGGCCCCCAGTCCTGGACCAGTCCTGGAGCAGTCCTGGAGCAGTCCTGGACCAGTCCTGGACGGCCCCCAGTCCTGGACCAGTCCTGGACGGCCCCCAGTCTTGGACGGCCCCCAGTCTTTTTAGCAGAGCCTCTGCTGCACCTGAATAGAATAATGAGGTCACTAAGGCTCTGGAGATCTGGTCCACAGCAGGAGGTCATGAAGCCGTTTGTTCCTGTGTTTTGACTCATCTAAAACCTGCAGGATTGCAGTTTGACACCCCTGGCTTACAGTGTTCAGTTATGCCGCGAACTGATCAGTACATTATTGCGAGAGAACGCAAAAGACAAAAAATTCCCATGGCCCTTAGAGGCCTCCGTCGTGCAGTAGTAAATAGTAGCTTCAAATGCTAGAAAGATGTTTTTCCCGGGCTTTTTAAATTGGAAACCTGCTGATTGCGTTTTTTCCTGACAGTCCCTGAAGGTATCATTCTGACCGTTAGAAACGTTGATGTTTGCAGAACATCAACGTTTTTAGGTTAGTTTTTGGTCCAATTGGTCGTACAGTGACCGAGACAGGAGAAACATGGAAGGTACCGACGACGAGCGGTTAGAACCGATCCGGATCTTGGTCCAACGGAGCTTCAGGCTGGACCCGGACACATGGGGGGAGTTTGTGTCGGAGAGCAGCATCAAGACGGTGCTGACCAGGTTTATGAGCAGCCCGGACTCTCAGCTGTTCTTCCACCTGCAGCCGGACTCCGGGCTCCAGGCCAGCCTCGGCCTGCCCTCGGCGGCCAGCCAAGGTTGTGTGCGTGTCCGGGCCGCAGGAAGGCTCTGGGAAAGCCTTCAGGATCCAGGAGTTTAGCGGAGGAAAGGCTCTGAGTGGCCTGGTAGGCCTCAGCGAGGAGGTATGCTAATGCTAATAGCCCCAAATCATCCAAAACTGGCACTTGTGGCAGTTTATAATTCAACCAGCCAACAGGAACACAGATTAGCAACACATTTCTGATTTAAATTTTTGGATTTAGAAAGATGCATTTAAAATTACTCAAATTGAGCAACCTAAACTTTAATTGCAATAAACATTTGACACACAGACAGCAGGACCAGAGGACTAAAGTCTCAGATCAGAGTAACACATCCAGGCTTTGAGTCCTGCAGCAGATCTGACTGACAAACCAACGGTCCAGAACAAGTCCAGCTCTCTGCAGCTAACAGGAAGGGGATCTGACCGCTGTCACTCCCAGACCTTATATGGAAATGGGACCATTGTACTCCGGAAGTGAAAGAGGGGGCTATTTCCTATGTAATCCGCGGTCTCCCGTTTTTATTTTCTATTGAAATCTAGTATATAGTTTAATCTCTCGGAAGGCATTTTAAATTTGAGTAATTTTAAATTCACTTAAATTTTAAGTAAATTTAGCCTTGCTCTAAAGCACGGCTAACAGTGCAGATAACAGTACGGCTAACAGTGCAGCTAGCAGTACGGCTAACAGTGCAGCTAGCAGTGCGGTGAACAGTGCAGCTAACAGTGCAGATAACAGTACGGCTAACAGTGCAGCTAGCAGTGCGGCTAACAGTGCAGCTAGCAGTGCGGCTAAAAAAACCCTTTGCTGTCAAACTTTGACGTGGCGTCTCAACGACGTTCCGCAGCTGCTGCTTTAAGGACTCGGAGTGTTTTCACGCACAGTTTTACTGCCAAAGTTTTAATTTACATGTTTTATATTATTTATACTTTTGTTAGAACTCTTATTTTGAGGATTAAGGTAGGAAGTAGAATCTGGGTTATCAGGTTACCAGAAACGCTTGCAATATAACAGCATCACGTTGGCAAGCAAATGAAGAAACATGATTTAAGTTTAAGAATTTACTGAATGACCTCATTTCTACATCAAAAGGAAGGGTCAGCCAGCGAGGTATGTTTATATGTTTTATGTTATTTTTATGTCGATATTGTATTCTTGACACCATCTCACTAAGTTTACGTTGTGTTTTAGTTCGTGGTGTCAGGGAAACTGAAGCTGTAATAAGAACAACTTTAAAGAGTTTCATTAAAGCTGACTTCACACCAGCAGTGCCACAAACTCTTAATTGCCAAAAAGAAGAAGAGTTGGAAGTGATACATAGTGTTACGTTTTGAACTAAATGCAACAACAGGACTGATACTCTCAGCAACTATTTGATCTTCTCTCTTTGATTTACTTCAGTGCAGGTCACAGTTTAAAAAAAAAATTCTGTCGCTTTCTGTGCTCTTCTAAATCTGCTCCTCAGTCGCATCTTTGTGGGCGTGCTACTGCCTCTAGTGCCGTGGGGTGGTAACACAGCTAATCTAATTACATTACTAAATCAGAATACCACAAAGTCTTTATTATCTACTATTAATTTCAGCATTACTGGCACTGTAAAATATTAATTCCCTCACAAAAGAACATATCGTTTCATTTTTTAAGGCAGTAGAGCTAAGTTAATGAGATATACAAAACCTGAAAGAGATTCCAGTTTCACTTAATGGCCAACCTGTTGAAACTGTGGCAAATTTTAAATTCTTTGTGTCGTTGCTGTTGAGTCAGCTCAACTTTGCTGAAAACACTTATTATTTTCCTATTTTAAGAACTGTTCTCAGAGACTCCATCTTTCAAGAAGATCTAGCGATCTTGGGGTGTACAACCTCTAGATAGAGGTCGTTGAGTTAAAATGTTAAAACTTAACGTTCTAACTTAAGTTTAAACTTAGCTCAAGTTAAGTTTTAACTTTTCATCTCCTCAGCTGGTTTGTTCACATGAGCTGGAGATTAACAGACAATCTTAAGAAAACTGTCACTGGCAGGTAAAACAACAGGTCAAAGGTTGTGAAACCATTTTTATTAGAGTTGATCATGTAGTGTTTCATGTCTCCTTGTTTTGTTGTCCTATAATTGATGGAGATATGCAGATATTATTTATCATGTGTAAAAGTATTGTTTATATCATTTAATTAGCTCTACATCCTTAAGAAAATGGAAAAAAATGCCTTG